GTTTTGGGTGAGTCCAAAAAGTGGCCAATCTTGGTCGCCAAACATCGCAGATCAAAGGTGGAGATTGACAACTTTTTTTAAACGCTTTAGGCGGGAACTGCACAGTGGTGCAAACGTGCGGTGTGGGAAACAATCGCGTCTCCAACCCTTTTCGCCGTTGGAGTCAACCCCGCGTTTTCCCCCGCCATCGCGACGGCCATCAAGCAGCGCCAGCCAGCATCACCATCAAGCCCCTCGCCAGCCAGCATCACCATCAAGCCCCTCGCCAGCCAGCCTCACCATCAAGCGCCCTACCAGCGTCTCCATCAAGCCCCCCGCCAATCGCAATCAAGCCACGCCAGCGCCCGGTGTCGCACTTTTTCCAGTCGGATCGCTTTAGGCGATTGGAAAGCCAACAGGCTGTCACGGGTTTTGTATGTGATTGCAATAAATAAAATAAATGAAATAATGCAAATCCCTTCCTGTTGTGTGCGTCCAGCTTCGAGCGAGACCCTTCAATTACAGTCTTTGTCGGTCCCCGGTCTTAGGAATCTTTTATTTTGATTCGGAACAGCAGAGAATCATGCGAATAACATACATCAATTATGCCAACCTGATTTTGAGAACTGCGACAGAATCATCCACGAAAGCAATCATCAAGCAAGAACAATGTAAAGAGCAAGAACGACTGACTCGAGCAATGACATAGTCAAATGAATGAGGGAGGAATGATAACTCATAATAGTCTCAGGAAGTACATATGGAAGAGAGCATGGCCAGCACCAATCAAGAGTCCTCACTCATCCCTCTGAACTTTACACTCATTCTCTCACTTTGTTGTCCGTCGTTTGGGTTTCTTGCCATGTCTTCGTACTCTCTGAGGTTGGGGCTTTTGAATGTAAAGCCACCTGAAGCCTGCTAGTTCCAAACACTTCCATCCAAGTCCCATGATACGGAAGTCAACCATGGCACAAAACTCCTCCCATAGAGTGGGGAGATAAGGTTGGGAGAAAATGCCCCTCCTGAGATGTGGAAACTCAGAGGGTTCTGTCACTGCCTCGTAGTCGATCTCTGCTGGCGATATGTACCTCTTGGCCAAGTCCACCAGTCCACCCCAATAAGAGTCGTCAGTAAGGTATTAAGGGACCGGCGGTTTGGGGTAGTCAGTGAACAACTTAGGACCGAAGCTATAGACTAGCTTTGTGCTCCCCTGGAGTCTCTCGGCTTTCCATTGCACGAACCCGGCTGCCGCGGCCCAAACTGCATCGAAATGAGGGTGTGTCTCGTTCCCCTTTTTCAGGAAGATCCGCATCGTTGACTATACCCTCAGCGAACTCAGTGAGAGCAACGAAGATAGACAGATGTTCGCGCTTGAACCCATCAATCCTGACATACTTGTAGGGGAACCTCTCCCTGGCAGCGATCAGATTGAGGCTGTCAAGGACCAACTGATCAACTGTGATAGGGTTGATCTCTCTCATGTGTTCGGATAAGTAGTTACTCCCTGATAGAGAGAAAAGTGATTGTGCTTGAATGACAGACGTCCGCCGCTTGAGTGTCCTTTGAATACTCTAATGAATGCGGTTTCTGGTTGCTGCTTCTGATTGCCGTTTCTGATTGCCGTTTCTGATTGCTGTTTCTGATTGTTGTTTCTGACTGCTGTTTCTAACTGCTGTTTCTGATTGCTGTTTCCGACTGCTGTTTCTGAAATGAATGTTGCTGAGATTGCTGACCAGACACTGAATAGATGTTGATTGGTTGCTGGTTGACTGCTGATTGAGGACTGAATGATTGCTGGTCAGAGAACTGTGACTGCTGATCAGAGAAGAAAAGGATTGATTGTTGGTCGAGAGTCGAACGTTGCTGAGACTGCCGCTTAAAAATTGATTGTACTGCTATCTGATTATTGCCAATCAGCGTTAAGTCCCACTCGCTAGTAGCTGCGTTGGGTACTGAACACTGCTAACAGTGCTGAGCCCTGCTTACCAGTAACCACATTGAGCACCGGCCGCTGCTATCAGCGCTGAGCCCTGCGCTCCGATAGCAGTACTCAGTACCGTTAGTTGTTAACGACACTGAGCATCAGAAGCTATGTGTTGCTTACTGACTAGACTCGCTGGTGGTCCAGTAGAGGTACCAATAGCGGTAGGCTAGGTCTAGGCGGGTAGGCTGTATGTTGGTTGCCACCAGGTATGTCTCTCGTATCAGTCACAACCTCCATCCCCCACTCACAGATGCCACATGCACCCAAGGACCACCATGCGCCCCATCCAAAAAGTTAAGAGCGTTTAGAGGCCCAGTAGCAGTAGGCTAGGTCTAGGCGGGTACCAGTCCATGTAGCCCATGTCTAGGGCCTTTACGGACGATATCAGATGCCACATGCACCCAAGGACCACCATGCGCCAGGTATGTCTCTCGTATCAGTCACAACCTCGATCCCCCACTCACAGATGCCACATCCACCCAAGGACCACCATGCGCCCCATCCAAAAAGTTAGAGCTTTTAGAGGCCCAGTAGCGGTAGGCTAGGTCTAGGCGGGTACCAGTCCATGTAGCCCATGTCTAGGACCTTTACAGACCATGTTTAGAGGCCCAGTAGCGGTACCAGTCCATGCCACACTCACCAGGTATGTCTCTCGTATCAGTCACAACCTCGATCCCCCACTCACAG